GAGACAGGAAAAAAATCTATAAGCAATGGAAGGGGAGCTTTCTCTTAGGCTAGGAAATGAATCTTCCAAATGAAGCAAGAGGAGTGACTTGCAGCTACATAGTTTCAGTGGCAACAGAAGGACTTTTGGAGCAATGAAAAACAGAGCACCTAGAAACAAAATGAGGGCAACGTCTGAGCAGAGCCATGCAAAAGAATGGCACGCTGCATGGCAAAACGGGAATAAATTATGGCAAGAAAAGTTGAATCTGAATGGTACATCAAGAAGACCTTTTGAAATGTTGGCTTTTGTAGCAGGTAGGGGACATTTGGGCTTCTCTTGAGGAAGCAAGATGTCTTGGACTATCACTGACTATGGGGCCAAGATGGGAGTAGTGGGACAGATGACATGACTGGAGTGAAGACAATTTATGAAATAGGAGAGGAGATTGGCAGAAGAAATATCAACAACCTCCGATATGCAGATGATACCACTCTGATGGCAGAAAGTGAGGAGGTATTAAAGGACCTCGTATTGAGGGTGAAAGAGGAGAGCACAAAAATGATCTGAAGCTCAACATAGAAGGGGAAGATGTGGAGACAGTGACAGATTTTACTTTCTTGGGCTCCATGATAGCTGCAGATGGTGACAGCAGCCACGAAATTAAAAGACGCCTGTTTCTTGGGAGGATAGCCATGACAAACCTAGACAGCATCTTAAAAAGCAGAGACATCGCATTGCCAACAAACGTTTGCATAGTCAAAGCTATGTTTTTTCCAGTAGCAATGTATGGAAGCGAGAGCTGGACCATCAAGAAAGCTGATTGCCGAAGAATTGATGCTTTTGAACTGTGATGCTGGAGGAGGCTCTTGAGAGTCCCCTGCTGCAAAGAGAACAAACCTATCCATTCTGAAGAAAATCAAACCTGAGTGCTCACTGGAAGGACAGATCCTGAAGCTAAGGCTCAGGCCATCTCATGAGAAGAGAAGACTCCCTGGAAAAGACCCTGATGTTGGGAACGTGTGAAGGCAAGAGGAGAAGGGGACGACAGAGGATGAGATGGTTGGATGGTGTCACCGAAGTGACCAACATGAATTTGACCAAACTCTGGGAGGCAGTGGAGGACAGAGGGGCCTGGTGTGCTCTGGTCCCTGTGGTCACGAAGAGTCGGACATGACTAAATGACTAAAGAACAACAACAAAAGAAAGGGCAGGGTAGATGCAAGTGGCTATTTGGGTATCCATGTTCTCTTCCATGTAGCTTGGATTTCATTCATTGTCAGAGCAATCATGTTATTTGCATCAAGCTGTAATTTGAATAAGGCCATAGCTACCTATATAGAAAAGGGAAGAGATAGTTTACCTCCAAAGCCAATCCATTGTAAAGACCTGATGTAATGTAATACCAAAGAAACTAGGTGTCAATAAGTCTCTGGGTCAAATCTTGCTTGTGACAATAATTTGATAGGTAACATTAAGGAATGGGTACTGTTGGATAAATTTGTAATAGGTAATATTTGTAATAACATCCTTATTGAAAACTCACCATGCAAGTGATAGGTAAATAATTAAATTGCATTTTCAAGCAGCTTAGTTGTTGTTGTGATGCTCTTTAATTCACATTTGCCCAGGAATTAATGTAAGAATTAATTTAACTAGGACCTGCCAAACTGGATGTTTTGGTGCAGGCTGGACTGAGCTACAAAGAATTGGCTAAGATTGGGGAGAGGGGAGGGAGGAAGGGGGAGGAACAATGTGCGATTTGAAGCACTCCTCCCATCTGAATGGCAAACAACCCTTTGTAGCCTGATCTACTGTCAATTAAGTGCTTCCCCGATCATCCGCAGAGGGTCAGAGGAAATGATTTTTTAAAAGATCTGCTAGAATATCACTGATGCAATGAATCACTTCATTTAATTTTTAAAAAATTATTTGCCTGTCTGTGTATTGCCTATAAGAAACTGCCCACAGCTGTGGTTTCAACTGGCAATACACAGACAGGCAAATCATTTTTTAGAAAAATTAAACAAAGTGGCTCATTGCACCACCAATAATCTAGCAGAACCTCCAAATACTGTACCTTTGTAAACCACTTTAGTGAACTAGAAATTTACACTAAAATGAAGTGCAAGGCTCTAATTTAGTCCATTCCAAGTCACCACATTCATTGGGAATGGAGTAACCTGGAGTCCTCCAACTCGTACCAAAATAGCAGAACCCCCTGACAGGGGTTCAAAAAGGTGAGGATTAGAACAAACTGGTCTGCTCCAGTGACAGCCACATGTGGATACCAGAAAAAAGAGCAGGGGGCATGAACCATCAGTGCACCAAACACAAAGACACCCTCCTAGTCTTTCTCCTCTGGAAAGCTTTCCTGCCAGCCGACGTGAGTAAGTAAGTAAGTAAGTAAAATGCATATGAAAAACAGGAGTGATATAATTGTCCCACCCATACTATGCAAATACGTACAGATCTGAGCTTGGCAGTGAGGATTGCTTTGCAGTAAGTGATTTTGACTGTACAAGCTCTCATCTGTTCTATACATCAGAGTTTCCCCATCTACAATGGGAATCGGAGTTGCTACAAATGATTTAACTTAAAAATAATTAAGAATCTCATGTGAAGATGGAAGCAATATTGCAACAGACTCATCTTGCTGCTGCCCCCAGCATAATTTGTAATCCTGGGAGCTCTGCAAACCTGGGCAAACCTTTGGAGAGGTTAGTCTATAGATTTGGGCAGAGATGTAACAAAAATCTATCTATCTATCTATCTATCTATCTATCTATCTATCTATCTATCTATCTATCTATCTATCTATCTATCTATCTATCTATCTATCTATCTATCTATCTATCTATCTATCTATCTATCTCTAGTTGTCTGCTAATTCCTGTGTGCATTCCCCCCGCCCAGTGTTAGGGGGTATTTTGAAAGCCACAGTCCAAGCTGGGTGATGATGATGCAATGGAAGCTCCAACTTGACCTTTAGTGACCCCTGTAGTCATGCCTGGGGCAACACAACCTAGAGGAACCCCCTTCAACTGCTCCCACCCTGTTGGGAGAAACCTCTCATTATCTGCCTCTGTTGTGGTGAGGCTGACACATGGCTCCACTTTGGGAGAATCAGAAGTTCCTATCCTCGTCATGGTACACTGAACTGTCCCCTCTGTGCAGTACAGCTGTAGCACGGGGCAAAGCAATGAACCAGCAGAGGACAAGGATAGGTCTATGAGTGTATGCCTTCATGCAGTGCGCATATATATCCATGTGCAAACAATCACACTCATGCACTCATGAATAACTGTCTCTCCCATGAATACAGCCTGTATGGATGTAAATGTACTATCTTACTCTCTGGAATTTTACCCTTTCCCTAGCCATACCTACTCCCCCCGCAACCCTAAAATCCCTTCACCATAATCCTCTCCCCATTGAAAAGAATAAAAATTAGTTGAGAAAAAAAAATAATTGTGTGTCTCCCATGAATATAGCCTTCCTTCAACTTAGCAGCCTCACTATGCTATACTGACCTTTCTGAGGCAAGTTTTTTCCCATTTGAAACGCCACATACTGTATATAATTGAGTGTGTTACCTGTTTTCATCTCCAACCAGCAGCTGAACAACCAAGACGTGTTATCAAGTTGTTATTTGATAACCTCTATTATATTGAAACAAAATGTGTAAATTGGAGGTCAAGTTTATAAAAATGAAAAGGAGCTTTAACAAAAATAGTTGCATTCACTGACAGCTTATTGTGGCCAGTATATCATTATTCCAGCACTCAAGAACAAGAAAAGACCTCTTCTGACCAAAAAAAAACCACGATAATGTCCTTTACTTGATTCTAGTAATAGGAAGCGGCATAGTACCTTCGTAGGTGTGAGGCAGCAAGCTCTAACAGTGCACCATTGAGTCGATTTCAACTTATAGCGACCCTTTACAGGATTTTCTCAGTACAGAGGATACAGAGGTGGTTTATTGTTCCCATCTCTGTAAAGGCATCATGGAATTGTGCAGCTTGCCCTGCTTTTTTTTCCAGGAGGCACAGTAATGCACTGAACTCTCTCAACCTCTGGCTACCTAACTCACAGAGCTACCGAATCAGACAGCAAGCTCTAGGTCAGTGCACAATTCATGAATCAGGCCAAAGTGGCTTTTATCCTTAAAACAACAGATTGTGCGCCCTGTTGCTCTACACTGGAAGCCAGATTTCACCCCTTACTAAAATCACAATAGCGATCCAGTTTGTCCTTGTCTTAGCCATAGGCTACGTTACCTTAAGCGCCTTGCGCCCTCTAGTGGGAAAACATTCATCTTCAAATGTTTCTTGAAAACTAATTAAGAGAAACTTCTTTCCTTCAGAAAAAGAAGCTGAAAAAGGGAAATGAAATCAATCCAACTCCTTTCCCATCTTTCCTGGAATGGATACATTTCCATTCACTCCCAGAATCCATAACTACCTAGGAATTCTCTGTACTCCAAACTGATCTGCAATAAGCACTTATTCTCAGTCTTCATCACTAATGAAGATTAGGATCATCTCCCTACACTTCAAAGAAACAGTGGGGATCCTCAGGCTATAGGGCTAAACCTGACCCTCTGGGGATCCCCTCCTCTTCCCAAGACAACATCACCTGGTGATTTCCCAGCTTTTACAGATTCTCCTCCAATTCTGAAAAGCCTGACATGACTCTTCTAAAGTTTAGTTACTGGCTATAATAGTTTAAAGTTAAAATATGCTGGCTTTTTGCATCCTATCTTTTTTTTCCCTTTGGCCTTGCTCATCTCTGCCACGTGGGCACTAAGAATTTATCTGAAATTCCATTTGGCCTTCCAGTTGAAAAAAGTTCCCTACTCTTATTTTAGAAGGTGCTCCTTTAAGACCCACCCTTGTATCATAGTGTGCTTTTCAGTCGCCAGTCTGTATTTAATGTACTTCTGAACACTTGAGTTTGCAACATGAGACCAGAAAGAGTTATTAGTTTAAATAACTTTATTAATGTAGAGAAAACCAGCAGTCCCATCCCCCAGCTAATAGGAAGCAAGGGAGTTGTGTGTGAGAGTGGGTGAGTAGTCAGGAAACCTGTTCTGTTCTCTCAGCCATAGGAGAGGCTCAACATATCCCTTCCAGAGAACCTGTACATGGTCCACAGTCAAGAGAACAGGACCAAGCTATATGAACTGGTGGTGAGGGGGACATGTCAGCTGACACAGGCCTTCCCCTGTCTTTAGGAGGGCATGTCCAAGCAGGCAGGGAGTGCTAAGACATTCTGGAGCCATAGCCTGGCACTAAATATCAAAGATCTGCCATAGCGGAGGTCAACTTCTGAGAACTGTGCTGGACACCCAAGGATTTAGAAGCAAGCTGTTCTGATGAGCCAGGTGGCCTAGATCTGGAATCCGCTCCAGGAATCTTCAGCAGACTATTATGCCACTCTAAATTAGATCAGTGTCAACACCCTTCACACGCATTGAGAGCTTGATTAGGCTCTGTCTCTGGAATTCTCTGGCTGATTTTAGAATATATTCCTCCTCCTCTCTCCTGCCCATACTCTGTCTCTTCCCTGTCCAGTGTCCTTTCCATGCTCACTTAAATACATAGACTGAGTTCTTTGCGCACGGTGCACTTCCGGCACTGTACCACACAGCACCAATGAAAGCGGCAAAGGCAGTTCTCTTCCAGGAGTAATGTCTCATCACGGTGACCTCGGCCACAGCATAGCAGGTCACAGCCACTCATGTCCATGGCAGTACTGTTACAAACTCGTCCGCGTGTGCCTAGTGAACCTGTCTTGCGGTTAGCAACGCAGAAGTCAGGTGAGTCAGCAGAGTAGATGAGATCCTGCCGGTCTGGTGGCTTGATGTTCCGGCCCACTGGGATTAATGTTTTGCCATCATTGCCGCCCATCACTTTAAAAGCGCCGTTAAAGCGTTCTAGCAGGCGGTCACCCACTTCCCGGAAAGGGGGCATCTTCTTCCAGCAGGTCTGTAGTGCACAAGAACCTGAAAGCCCATGGCACTTGCACTCCGTTCTCATGTGGTTCTTCACTGCCTGGAAGGAGGAAAAGGGACCAAGCCATTAAGAAAACCATGCCTAGGTCCAAGCATGTCCTGCAAAGCGAAATTACCAAAATCAAAGACTATTAACACTTGGATTAAACTTGAAAGCAAGGTGACAAGAGGGATAAATCCAGTTCACAGACAGAGTAGGTCGAGGTAGGGAATGAAAGGGACTTATTACACAAGTCTCATTGATTCTGTGGGATTTGTCTGGCTGGACTAAAATTTAGTTTTAAGCCCAAAAGCTCATTTTGATCTCTGAAAACATTCTCTAAATTCTGCCTCAAAATGTAACAAGATTTCTTCAAGGATCTATATCCGTGAGGAAGAGTTGTTGGATTGCTGACATTTATAAAGAGTTAAGAAAATAAGAAGAACTATGCTGCTGTAGAACAAAGACACATTTACCTCAGGATTCTTTTTAAACAATGTTCTTATAATGATGGTGGTGGGGAGATCCTATATCTCAAAGTCCAGGGTTTCTGAAGAAATAAGCTTCCATTGGAATCTAATGGTTGTTGTGGGTTTTTTGGGCTCTTTGGCCGAGTTCTGAAGGTTGTTCTTCCTAACATTTCGCCAGTCTCTGTGGCCAGCATCTTCGGAGGACAGCACTCTGACAGCATTGGAATCCCTACTGAACATGTGGTAACCATTGCCTAAGACCAGCATAGCATGGCCATGTACAAGTATGACCAACCAGCAGCTTTGCAGAGCAGATCCAGACGCAAATCAATTTTTGGAAGCCCTATCAAACTATGATTTTCAGTATTAATTTCATTTGTAAGGATGCATATCAATAAGTTTACATTAATCTTGTACACAAATATCACTATAAGGCTATCTGAGATGTGTTCCAGAAAAGCAAAAGGCTGCTTCTCCAGAAGGGGAAAGGTTTGTTCCTTGATTTTCTGAGCTGCCCAACATCTTCCACTCATCAGTTCTCATGTGCTCCATATTTGGAAACCTTTGTAAAGGATGGCAACCTGTCCATTTGTCAGAGGATCGGATTGTTCTGGGCTCCAGACTAGTGTCTGGAAAATACAGTGAGTACAATTATGCTGGCCTTTGATTTTAAAAAAAATTGTGGGCATGTTGAGAGCATCATACTTCATAAGTAAAGTGATAAAGTTCGTATCTCAGAAGGATCAGAAATATTAGGAGGATGCAACTGCATTCATGTCCTGCCGGCAGTCTTTCTATAGTCTTGTTGGGCACTGTGTAAAGAAAATGTTGGGCTAAATAAACTTTTGTGAGATCCAGCACAGCTCATCTTATATTCTTATTATATCTCAGATAGCCGTCTCCTCTCATCTGATATGGATCAAAGGGATCTGTTCAGATTCACCTCTTCTGGACTGAACCTGCCATTACTGTGCTGCTCTCAAAAACATGTGTGAGCATGTAAGATGATAAAATGTACAGATTGTATAGCATTAGAATATTCAAAGTGCTTCACATATTATATTATGAATATAATATATAAATAACAACGAAACAATGTAGACTGGCCTTGTTATCCCCATATTGTGGATGGTAAGCTTGAGATAGTCATTTAGCTATATCAACCTAAAGAATTTATTGTTCAAGGTGAGATTTGATCCTAACTCCCTTCGCAGATTTGGCTCTTTCATTACATGAGCTCTCAAACACAAAGCTGTTCTAGGTAGCAGTCCATACACTTACTCTCCTTTCTGCCCAAAATTGTTTGCCTGCACCATTATTCACTGATGAAACAGAAATTACGGTTCTGATCAGGAATAACTGAATCGCCTTGTGTTGCCATAGATTTGGAAGAGACCACTGAGGCCATCCAGTCCAACACACACACACCCAATGCAGGAACATCCATCAAAGTACTCCCAAACAGATGGCCATCCAGCCTCTGCTTAAAAACCTCCAAAGAAGGAGACTCCACCACCCTTCGAGGCAGCCTATTCCACTGCCAAACAGCTCTGACCATCAGGAAGTTCTTCCTAATGTTCAGATGGAATCTCTTTTCCTGTAGTTTGAAACAATTGCTCCGTGTCCTAGTCTCTGGAGCCCTGGAAAACAAAACTGTCCCTTCGTCAACATGACATCCTTTCAAATATTTAAACATGGATATCATGTCCCCTCTCAACCTTCTTTTTGCAAGGCTAAACATTTCCGACTCCCTAAGCCACTCCTCATAGGACATTGCTTCCGGACCTTTAAACATTTTAGTCGTCCTCCTCTGGACACGTTCCAGGTTGTCATCATCCTTTTTTAATTGCAGTGCCCAGAACTGGACACAATACTCCAGGTGAGCTCTGACCAAAGCAGAATAGAGTGGTACTATCACTTTCCTTGATCTAGACACTATACTTCTATTAATACAACCAAGAATCGCATTGGCTTTCTTGGCAGCTGCATCACACTGTTGACTCATGTTCAGCTTGCGGTCTACCAAGACTCCTAGATCCCTTTCACAGGTACTGTTGTCTAGCCAGGTGTCTTCCATCCTATATCTGTGCAGTTCATTTTTTTCTGCCTAGGTGTAGGACCTTACATTTTTCCCTGTTGAAATTCATTTTGTTAGTTTTGGCCCAAGACTCATCTGTCAAGGTCATTTTGAATTTTAATCCTGTCCTTTGGGGAATTAGCAACCCCTCCTAATTTGGTATCATCTGCAAATTTAATCAGCATATTCTCTATTCTTTCATCCAAGTCATTGATGAAAATGTTGAATAACACAGGGCACAGAATAGAGGGGCTCCCCACTAGTCACCTCTTTCCAGGACGAAGGGGACCCATTTGTGATCACCCTTTGTGTTCGGTCAGTGGACCAATTACAAATCCACCTAACAGTAGCACTATCTATCCCACATTCTACTAGCTTCTTTGCAAGAATATCGTGAGGAACCTTGTTGAAGGCCTTAGTGATCCATAGTGAGTACCAGGTGGAAAAGACAGGCAGAGATAGGAAAAAGAAGGATACCTGAAGATCACAGGACCATTCAGGTAGCATACAATGTAAGCAAGCTGGGGGGGGGGGAGTTTCTGGAATATTCCCTGATTTAGGGTATCCAGAAGTGAAAAGCAGTTAGAATTAAATGAGCTAAAAGAAGCAAATGACTTGCTGCATAGAACCAGGATATGGGGACATTTTATACTCCTCCAGCATTTTTTACTCATTAGAAAGAACAAAAAGGAATTGTGTTGGCAAATATGACTTGCAGTGACAACACTACAGTATATTTTATATACAGAAATGGCCACCTATGTGTACATATGATAAAGCAGGGATGAAAAAAGTGTACTCCTCCAAATGCAATTGGATAGTAACCCACATCGTCTTTCCCAATGGCAGTCCACTAACATCTGGAGGGCTTTCACCCTTACTGTAAAGATTTGCCTAAGAACTAGTTTGCAATCACTGTTAGAGGTGACCCTGAACACTGGAAGTTGTTAGGAAATAGGTGTCGTCACTGGAGTGGGAACAAAGATGTGGCAGGCAGCAAAAAGATCCAAGTAAGCCACATCCAGACAAACTAAAGGAATCTCCATGACTTGTATACACAAGGAATGGGCCAGAACTATCCACGAGGAAAGGATTCCATATACCCAGCAGGAGGAAATCCACAAGGCTGCCCTTACCAAGCGTCCTGCTTCATTGTTGTGCAGATCGATAAGGGTTCGAATGTCACTCTTGCCACGCTTGCGCTTAGCATCCATGAACTGGCGGGATTTCTCATAGCCAAAGTCAACATCGTCTCCGCAGCCACCCCACTCCCAAGCAGAGCCTTCTGATCCTGTAAGGGCAGGAGGAAGAGGAGGAGCCCGGCTTCGTGTTGCCTCACATCCACACTGCAGGAGTTCACCCATGCTGCAGGCCTGGGTAACTGCATGGCTCACACCAGCTGCTGTGATGGCATAGACAAAGGCAGTCTCCCGGATATCTGTGCACAGCATAAGAGAGGGTGAGAAACAAGAGAGAGTGCACATATTAGAGACTGTGTCCAGTTTGAAACCAACCATACATAACCAACTTGTCAAGGGGAACAGGGCAAGCCCTGTGCCAAAGCCTAGAAGCAATAGGCAGCTCTTCCTTTACTGTATCCCATGTGAAACACCCCATTCAGATTTTGAAACTGCAGCCAAGGGGGCATTAAGAAAACCCAGGGTGAGTAGAAAACTCAGAAAACCTCAGTAGGGCTAACAAGCTTAAGAAGCTCTTGGGTCTGCACAGAACAAGAGGTCCCATTCTCCAACAATGACCGAATTCTGCCCATTTGCAGAAAGTCAGGGTTGGAATCTTATCCATATTTAGCTGGGAGTAAGGCTTGCTTAAAATCATCGGTCCCATGGAAATATACATTTGATTGTACTAGCCAAAAGCAGTTAAACCATTAAAATGTAAGAAGGAACTTGACATTTAAAGCTAGCGCTACTGAGAGAACATGCAAGTCTGGCTGAGGAAAATCTAAGTTAATCAGCCATTATTGACTGTTGTTGTTCACTAAAATAACAGAGTCTTGTCATTTCCAAAGAGTTTTCTGGCGCCTTTAAAGATTTAATGAAGTTTTATTGAGCATAAGCATACAGGGACCGCAGTCCACTTCTTCAGAAGGAGCTTGTTAAATGCCACCAAACTCTTGCTTGCTTGGGCGCTTGTTGTTGTCGTTGGTGGTGGTGTGTGTGTGTGTGTGTTTTGCTTCAGTTTTACTTCCCTCCGGAAATCTATGTTGCTGTCGCCGTTTTCAAGTAGCTGACGGGACTGCTGCTTCAGGCGAACAGATTAGGGTGCCATTTTTAAAAGCAACAAGTGGAGTAAGTGGCGGAGGTGGACGAGTCAGGGAGCGCCCGCCCGCGGGAAAATTTTTCCCGCGCAAGCTCGCACCCGAGGACGGGAAGAGCTACCCCTGAATACCGCGCGCTGGTAGCGGCGCAGAAAGGAAAAAAACACAGTGGAAACGGAGAATGAAAAATCAATATGCAACACCAGTACGCTCGTCGCCTATCTCCCCAGCCCAGCAGCAACCCGGAGGGCAGCACCCGGTTGGAATACCACCTCCACCTCCTCGTCCTTCACCCCAGTAACCTGGATTCTTATTTACGGCAAGGCGCCAGTCGCCCCACCGCCGCGGGACACGAGTTCCAGGCATCTCCCGCCGTGCCGGGACCTGCCACAGCCAAAGGGGGATTTTCCTCTTTCCTTGTCTCTCTCTCTGTTTGCTCCGGCATCAGGCGCCGCACCCGCCAAGGGCTCCATCTCTCCTTCCCTCCCTACATCACTTTTGCCAGCAGTCGCTTCGCTGTTGCCGGGGCCGCTGCTGATAATGAGGATGCGGATGATACCGGAGGGAGAGGACAGGAAGAAGGCTGGATAAACAATGCGCTCTTTCTCTCCCTTCCCTCCCCACGCTCCGAGGGCACCCGGGAAATTGCACTACAACTCCCAGAATTCCCGACGGTGGGGGATTTTGGACGATGTAGAGCAAAAACAGTTGTTGGTCGAACATCTGACGCATGTTGCTCTCAACATCATATTGGGGCCATTTTTCTGATAACTTTTTTTTCCTGCTACCCTACCGCGCGCTCTCTCCAGTTTCATCTCCTGAACCCCTCCTAGCCCATTGCTAACCTGTTAATCCCCCCATGGTCTCAGCTATTAACCCGGAATATATTAACAACTCCAAGCATAAAAACGGTATATCCTACAGCGGCTCCCTCTGTCTGGTTGGGTCTCTGGCTATCTAGGGATTCCTATTATCGCTGAGATGACTGACAATGAAGGGAGGCTTCCATTCTTCCACCTGCCCAGCTATTTGCACCTGTTCTTCACAGCCCTGATAGGCTGGAGGTCAAAAATATCTGCTGGGAAATACTTTCAGCTGCCATTGTTGTAGCTATTTTATTATCTTATTGTTGTTTTGTTATGGTTGTTTCATTATAAATATATGGTCTCGGTGGAAGTGTTAACAGCTGCGTTTTTTAAATCCAACAGGAGTTGCAAAACTGGACTCCTCCAGGCTGGTGTCAGAAACATTCCAGGGAAATATTCGTGAAACAAAGAGGTTCTTTTACTGTCCAGGAAAATTTCACCTTCATAAGCTTCACTGTTTTCACCACTAGGGCATCAGAGTGGGAGCCTTCCTTGCCCTCTTGACCCACCTGTTCCCTTAGGTATGGAGCATTCAAAAATGTTTTTTAAAAGTGGGGAAAGCACCACTAGCCAGTGTAATTGGCAAAGGGGCTCCTTGGGGGTCTGTGTTATTTATTGCCCATCCCAACTCTGTCAGGTCGCTGGGAAAGCCTGGGGGAAGCTATAAGGACATGTAGGAGCACAATCTATGGGGTTGGTAAGAAGGGGGAGGGGGCAGTATATCACTCCCAGACATGGATGCATTCTTGGGCTTTATTAAAAGCTGCTGTGCTGTCTGGGAGCATCCATAATTGCTTCATTACAAGGACAGGGAGACATGTCACAGCAGTAAACCTTCAGCCTCTAGCAATAACCTAGGCCTCCCAAGGACCTAGTGATTTTTGGACCTCATATGCTCTGTGGCAGTGTTACCCCTGCCTTGGGCGGATGGGGGCGGGGGAGCAATGCTAACCGTTTTGGAAGGTGTGCTATTTCTCTCTGCTCACAGAAAGGGTGGGCATTAACACAAAAGTTGCAAGGCAACAGGAGTGGGCTAAGTGTGGCCCTCCAGAAATTAATACTTTCAGGCTTAATGAGCATAGATAGTGGTAAGGGCTCATGGGAGTTGCTGATAAACAGCATTTTGGTCCTAGCATTAAGCATGGTCAAGCAAGGATTCCTTTAATCTCTAGCATTTTGGTACTTCTGTCCTTAGGTTTCTCTTAACAAGTAAAGATTGCTGGCTAGTGGCTGCAATTCTCCTCCTAGCTGTGTGTATCAACATTCAATGAAGAACATGTATTAATTTTTTTTTAAAGAGCTAGAGCATCATAGACTAACCGGTTTATCCAGTATGATCTTTTATACATCATAATCCACTTCCATAGATTTCTTTGTGTCTGGGAAAGAAGACTGTGATCCACAGAAGCCCACAATGAAATCAATTAGTTAGTCTTTAAGACACCACACTTCTTTTGTTCTTATTGTGGCTACACATGCTGAAACCAAATAATGCAACTAACTACCTTGCTGGACATTAGTAAAGGACAGAAGCACATTCCCTGGATGAATGTTATGTTTTCTCAGGTCTACAGTCCCAATGGCATTATTTTATTAATTTGTAACCTTAATATCCTACCGTCTCTGTGGATTTCAAAATCATGCATGAGTCTTTTCCAATCCTATTTATCCTCACAATAACCTGTGAGGTAGTTAACCTAACAGACTGATTTAGCTAAGGTTAGAGCAGTTTAGGGCTGTGTTCTAGGCTGCTGATGCTGGTTGAATAAAAGCTGCTGTGTTCACCATCAGCTGCCTCAAGGCAGGCAAGCTTCATCTTATGAAAGGCCCAAAGTAAAGTTGAAGAACTAAATTCCCAGTACAGAAGGAAAATAGGGGACCAGAGCACCCAATGTCAATATACCACACAGCTTACGACCAGACTCAAAGTTGTTCCATGATCCAACACAAAAAACGTGGTGTTAAATAGATTTCTAAAAACCCATACCAGCTCCCAATTTAATCCAACCCTAGCTGAGCCTTCCCTAGCCTGTTGCCCTCCAGATGTGATAGACTACAATTCCTAGCTACTTAATCTGAAAGCTACCAGGTGTGGTGGGGAGGTACTGGTTTAGTGTTGGAGCCATGGAGCCAGAGTGGTATAGTGGATAAAGTGCTGGATTAGGACTCAGGAAACATGTATTCACATCTGTGCTGGGCCGTGGAAACTCACTAGGAGGTGGTGATGGCAAACTACTCCTCAAACATTCCACATAACTTGAAAACTCTATTAGGGTTGCCATAAACTCAGAAGTGACTTGTCAGCACTTAATCATGCTAGCCACTATACCAGATTGATTCTTGCACTGGGGCACAACATGAACTACAGCTGTGGTAGGGGTTTTGTTTGTTTGCTTTGTGTTGCCTTTGTTTCCTTCCCGAATACAAAAGGAAAGGCAGTTTGATGTATTTTAAAAGGACTTTTAACAGATCAAAGAAATCCTAAGGACTAATAAGAGTTTTAATTGATTTGTTGATTATACAGTCACTTAGATCCACTTGAATCTGCATATGAATAAAACAAAATTCTGAAGATAAAATACATTTGCTTTGTTTTTAGATGATCCATACATGATTCATAATAGACACCACCTTAAAAGAGCCATAACTTCCTTTGTGGGAAAATTAAAAGGACTGCTTCCAAGAGCCTGCTACTATGGTTGTAGAAGTACTCGCAATTAAAATGGTTCAAAAAAATTTAAATCAAGTAATCAACTAAATGTTGCAGCCCTTAAAAATGAAATTCTCCTTTCATTAAACTTGATCCATTGTGTGTTTGGGGGGCATATAACGGCTTTTTCACACAGTTTCATAAATGAAGAGCCCTCCTCTGCAATAACGAAATTGTTCACATGGGGAAGCTGCACAGAAATGTGCAGCAGATACTCCAGGCATTCAGTGTGAAACCTGTGCATACAAACATCATGTGTGGCACTCTTCATGAGACATTAAGGATTCTTTCCCCAGAAGAACTGAAAGTTAATCCAGACAAGACAGAGGTGCTCCTGATCAGTCAAAAGGCAGATCAAGGAATAGGGATTCAGCCTGTGCTGGATGGGGTTACACTCCCTCTGAAAACACAACTGTGCCACCTGAGGGTGTTCCTGGATTTGTCTCTGAGCCTGGATGCCCACATTTCGACAGTGGCCAAGAGTGCCTTTTCACAGTGAAAACTAGTGTGCCAGCCGCATCCATGGTAAGACATGCCCTAGTTGCATCTTAGCTGGATTACTGTAACATGCTGTATGTGGGGCTGCCTTTGGAAAGTTTTTGGAAACTTCAGTGGTCCAAAATGCCGCAGAAAGATTATTAATTGGGGCTGGTTACTGGGAGCACATAACTTCCGCGTTAAAGCAGCTCCACTGGCTGCTGATCCATTTCCAAGCTCAATTCAAAGTGATAAAGCCCTAAATGGCTGGGGTCCAAGCTATCTAAAAGACCACATCTCCCTTTATGAGCCTGCCTGGGCGTTAAGATCATCAGGGGAGGCCTTTCTCTCAATCCCACCACCCTCACAGGTGTGCTAGATGGGGACACAAGACAGGGCCTCCTCTGACAGGCTGCTCCCAGACTCCGGAACTCTCTCCCATGGGGAGCCAGGGTGGCTTCATTTTTGCTGTCCTTCTGCAAGCAAAGATCTTCCTCTTCAGGCAGACATTTCTTTAGTGACAGGCTGTCTGAGAGGGTGTTTGGAATGGATTATTGTTCTCTGCTGCTTTTAAATACGTTTTTAATATTGATTTTCTTATTGGTTTTAATATAATACAGTGGTGCCTCGCTTAACGAGCGCACCGTATAACGATTAAATCGCATAGCGATCCGTTTTTTCGGATCGCTAATGCGATCGCACAACGTTGTTCCAATAGGGAAAAATTCGCTTTGCGAAGACCGGTAAGCGTTTCGCTTACCGATCTTCGCAAAACGACCCCCACCGATCAGCTGTTCGGCGGCCAAAATGGCCGCCGGAAGCCGGGAAATGGCCTAAAATGGCCGCGCGCAGCGTTTTCGCGCCCTCGTTAAGCGAGGCGAGGGCGCGAAAATGGCTGCCGGCCATCCTGAAGCTTCGCTGAACGGTGAGTATTTGGCCTATTTGGAACGCATTAAACAATGTTTAATGCGTTCCAATGGAAATCGCTGCCCCGTTCAGCGATGCTTCAGCATAGCGAAGGTTAATCCGGAACGGATTAACCTCGCTATGCGAGGCACCACTGTACTTATTTAGTTCTTTTTAAATATTTGTATACTTACTGTATTTAGCTTTTAAATATTGTCTTTTTAATTATATAAGCCACCTTGGGTACTTTTAAGTGGAACCAGTTACCTCAGGAGTTGGTGAGTGCTCCAACACTGCAGGCATTCAAGAAAAACTTAAATAATCACCCGTCAGATATGCTTTGATTGTATTCCTGCACTGAGCAGGGGATTGGACTTGATGGCCTTTTAGGCCCCTTCCAACTTCATTTTTCTATGATTCTATAATTCTATGAAGGAGAAAGGTGGGATAAAATATTTTAAATAAATAAATATATGGATAAAAATAAGGATTTTATTTAACGCAGAGTGTGTGAAACAGTTCTATATCTTTCCAACCTTGTTGTAAAGCCTGGTTTGTTATTTGTGTGTGAAGGCCACAGAACATTTCAGTCAAGCACCACAGAAAATATTGTTTATCTAAATGCAGTAGTATTAACCTTAGAACTGTAGAGCTGGAAGGGTCTCTATGGATCATTGAGTCCAGCCCGTTAAGGACGCAACATGGGGAATTGAACTCCCAACCTCTGGCTCCCCAGCAGCCCCTCATACTACTCCCAGCCAGAGACCTAACCACTGAGCTATCTTTATTGGTAAACTTCAGTAATTAAGCACCAAGATAGAAAAGATACTTTGCATTTCTGCTGATTTGCAGCCCAATAGACTAAGTAGGCAATATGAGTTCGTGTATCTTTAGATATAATTCAAGAAAATTGGCAATTTCTGTTTGATACAAACAATATTTCCCAGTGGATATACATTTATCATTATAAAGTTTAGTCCTAACCTATTCTGCATATTACCCATTTTGAGGTCTGTGATAGCACCCTTACTGCTCTGCCTACAGGCATTGGTCAAATGGGTGGTTGAGTCTTCCTTTAATACTAGTGATGGTCCAGCATCCTGTCTGCATCTGAAAACAAAGGGTTAGGTAAGAGATGTCCATGCCTGACAGTCCATGTGTCAGACACCGTTCTGGCCTCCAATATCTCACTCCTTCTTCCAGCCCTCAACATCTGCCACTTGAAGCAGCTGTCTCATTAGACCAGTCCTTGTAATAAGTTTTAGAAAATCTATACTTATTACACATTTTCCGTATCTTTACTGATAAATTGCCAGTACATGCTTATACACTGAGCATTTATGAAAATATTCCTTGCCTCACTTCAGAGGAACAAAATTTGCTTTGATAATCTCTCGGGTATTAAATAAAGCTGGAGTCTTCCCCAAGGCATCAAAACAATATGAACAGTTAATGCCATAACCCAGCTCAAAATATGTGCCAAGGATCAGCTTAAGGAGCACTTTTTATTTTGCTGCCTTGCCTCGACAGCAGGATAATAGAGCAAGTCTTAGCACCAGGGCGAACCTCTTATAGGCGAGCATTTCTTGTCCCCCTTCTACCTCAAAAAGAGTGAGGTGATGTCCAAGCTTCCCTTCTGGTGGCCTTTCTGGAATTCTTCTCACCAATATGTGCTATCTGTTTGGGGGGTAGGGTGGGGCTGTCTCTTTTGTTCCTCACTTTTTTGAGGAAATTTATGTCAACTGTACTCTTTACTCTCTGTGAGAGAACCCAAAAGGTGCAAATCACCTCCCCCAGCCACAGAGACTGCCCAGCTCACCCTGCTGTAGGATCTTGCCGAAATATTTGCTGTGGCTGGTGCAGTTCCAGCGACGAAAGCGGAATTGGTACTGGCACTCACGCACACCCAGCCTGGCACCTTTGGCCACCTCCTGTACAATCTCAGGCTCCGTCTGACACAGCTCAGCCTGTTTCCCAGCCAGCCGCTTGGTCTTCCGGCAGATGCTGTTGGGATCCATGACCAACGGGCTGCCCACTGCCCTGGAGAGGTTGGAGAGAAAAAACAAGGAAGCATTCTTGCTGCCTAGAAATGGTTAGGCCTAGGATACACATGGGTTCTCTTCCATGTGTATCCTCAGGGCAGTTAGAGATGTTAATAATGAGATCATCCAATCAACCCCTACGTATATCTAACCCAGGCCAGGGAATCTGCAGATGCCAAGAACCGTTAGGCTGTATTGTCTAGGAGCTGCAGCTAGAAAAGTTCAGATGACATCCTGTCCCACCCTGGTCTTCTGCATTTGCGTGTTATGTTACTTTAAAGAGGCTTCTGCTGTGCTGTGTTTGTGTGGCTACCTGCAGTCTACGTGCTACAGAACAATAACTTGTTCACCCCACTATCTCATTACTTATCTTAGCCAGGCCCCTAAGCATAAGTACGTCTGTACTATATTCCAGGAAATACAGCCTTTCTGTAATCTTGGTGTAAGAAAAGCTGAAGACAGAGCTGGAAAATATAGAAAGCAACTTTGTGAGAAAATCACTGAATGACCTTGGGAAATGATAAAAGCCAGCAAGCGAATTCTGGGCCTAGGCCAGCTTTCTTCCTTCTACTTCAGATGGCCCTCATGGTAGGAGTTTATCCTTCAGTGATTTGACTAGGAGATTTAATCCTTCCCAGTTAAAAAAAAAAATAGTCCCAGGCTGTGTCCACAAACACTTCTCTGGATGGAACTTCCAAAGCTATTCCATGGTAGAATGTGGGATTCTTCCTCTCTGAATACTAGATTCTACCTCTCTGGGTACATGGAACCACATGGGCAGCTTCCAGATAATCTCATTTCTAAAAACAGTAAATGTTTACTTTGATGGTCAGAGAAAAAAAACTTTGACAACATGCCAGCTGTATCTGTTAAATTTCAAAGGACAGACCAAGGTTTTTGGTAGATCTTCTGTGCACAGCAATAAAACAGCAAAAGTCATACTCTGCTTTCATACTCTGCTTCCAGGATTACTGCCCTGAGGCCCATGTAACTTTCTTTATTGTGATATCCCAACCTCTGTCAATAGTCATTTTGTAAGGCAACACATTTGTAGATCTCTGAGATGGCTGTGGCATGGGAGCAGATGGACCCATAACTCAGAATGAAGTGATCTTTAACAAAGGAACATGCAACTATTGTGCCTTGAGGTTCTACTCTTGTCCATTCACTATCTGGTAGAAAGCAGCTTAATCCTGTGATATTTTATGATACATATTACTTGCAGAGTATTGTTTCAAAGGAAACTCCAGCATGACAACCCTTAAAATCCTGATGGCAGCCACCCTGTTCTGATGCCTGGAGGGTGGAATAAATGGGTTATGAGCGGTGGAGGATTTTCCCACTTTCATCTCTGACTATCTTGTTGAGTGACTGGGCATGGAACGGCTCCTTCCTGCCTGGCAGTGAAAGCTACAGGCAACAAGAGCAATTCTTCCACGATTCCCAGCAAATTTTAGAGGCATAACATGAATCACAAGAGAGATAAATCACAAGACAGACTGAGATGGGGAGCTGGGGGGGGGGAATTGCCAGAGCAGTAGCCATGCTTTTCTACTGTAAGTAAAACAACAAAGAGACAATGTGGCACCTTGGACATTAACAGAGTTTTTATATACTCAGCTCACTTCTTCAAATGCATGCAATATAACCTAGATGTGCAGGTACACAATGGTCATGGGTGATGAAAATATGTTTACAGTATGGTGAAATTTAGATGCAGAAAGTACTGACAGTGACAAGTACATTATTAGCATTCACAGTAAAGGTAAAGGTAAAGGTTCCCCTTGACAATTTTTGTCCAGTCGTGCCCGACTCTAGGGGGCGGCGCTCATCCTGCTCTTCAAGCCATAGAGCCAGCGTTTTGTCCGAAGACAATCTTTCCGTGGTCACATGGCCAGTGTGATTTAGACACGGAACGCTGTTTACCTTCCCACCGAGGTGGTCCCTATATATCTACTCGCATTTGCATGCTTTCGAACCGCTAGGTTGGCGGGAGCTGGGACAGGTGACGGGTGCTCATTCCGTTGCGTGGATTCGATCTTACGACTGCCGGATCTTCTGACCCTGCAGCACAGGCTTCTGCAGTTTAGCCCACAGCGCCACCACATCCCTTGCAGCATTCACAGTACCCACAGAAAATATTTTGATGATTTTAAAAACTCGTCGCTGAAACCCAGTAATAAGTTGCAAATAGAACAGACCCATTGAATCTGTAGGGATTGGGTGAGTTAATACCTCTGTAATTTCTGTTGATTCAGTGGGGCTACTCCAGCTGCTAATGGACTTCAACCATCTTAGCACTAGTGCTAGTTAAGTCATTTGATGCATCTAAATATGATAAGCATCTGTTACCCAAGCAAACTTCCAGTGCTCAACCCAGCACCAAGTCCCACAATAGAAGGGTCTAGACTGAGAGAAGTCCATTTGCCAGATCTTCACTTGCAGGCTTCCATGAGACTTGGCAGACAGGCCTGTGCTTTCTAACTGTCCTAGTTAGTAAGTCACCCTGTTTGGCCAAGGTTTGAGCTGCATCTGATCTGTACACTCTTGGGAACTGCGGCAACATCAGTTGAGTGGGTGCAATACAAAAAGTACCCTATGGGTCAGACCAAAGAACTATCTAGTCCAGCATCCTACTTCACCACAGTGACCAATCCGATTTCAATGAGAAGCACAGAGCAAGAAGTGTGGGTGGCCCATGGAGCAGGATAGGTGCTGCTTCACCCCAGAATTAGCTTCTCCGCTCCAGCCATGAGCTGTCACTGGGAAGAAGGCCATTGTTTTCTCCCACTGTGGCCTTCCTATAGAAATTATTCAGAGGCATACTGCTTCCCCAGCTTTCAACAGGCAGAGCCTGTGAAAACTGGTTTTTTATTTTATTTTATTTTTATTATGCCCCGATATGTCATTCCCAAGTTATAATGACCCTGTGAATTTTCTCCAGAAAGAATGGTCATTAACAGCCCTGCTCTAGTCTTGCAAACTAAATGCTGAGGTTTTCTTAGCTCTTCCTCCTTTTCTAGCGCCTTCCACTTTTCTAAATACTGTCTTTTCCAATTAGTCTTCTTTTCTCATACATTTTAGGCTTCCTTTCCCATACATACAAAGCAATCATACGTTTTTGCTTCTAGTGTGAGTTCAGACTTGATATTTATTTGTCCTTCCATGATATCCATAGAGCTCTCCTCCAACACCACATTTCCCTTGAGCAGATATTTTTTTTCTGTTAACTTTCTTCATTGTCTAGTTTTCATATCCATAAACAAAATTCAGGAATACAATAATATCTTGGCTCTGGTTTCCAGCAACACATCCTTTTCCTTAAAGTTCTTTTCTAGTTTCTTCATAGAATCTCTTCCAAGTCTTAACCTTCTTCACATTTCTTGGCTGCCCTCTCCATTTGCTTAATGATGGAACCAAGATATAGACAAATAAACAATTTTAATTTTTTTGTTGTTGTCAACACTGAAGTCATATAGTTCTCCCATAGCAGCAACTCTTTTATTATTTTGTATTCCTGCTTTTGTGCCCTTTTTTCAGTAGTTTGAAGTCATCGCTATCTTCTACCAATAATATGTCACCTGCCTGTCTTATATTGTTGATGGTTCTTCCACAAATATTTGTCCCTCTGAGATCTGAATCTAATCCAGGGTTTCATATGATGTTCTGCATACACATTGAAGAGACAGGGAGATAAAATTCACCCTTGTCTGACAGCTTGCCATTTGGAAACCATTCATTTTCTCCATCTTCTGTGCTAAGTGTAGCATCTTGTCCAGTGTATGGGTTACACATCAAGACAATCACTTGTTGTGGCACACCCATCTCTTTTAGAACAGTCCATAGCCTTTCATGATCCACACAGTCAGAGGTTTTATCATACTCTATAATATAAAAGCACATTTTGTTCTGAAATTCCTTGATACATGCAAGCAGCCAATGCAATATTTTTATTTATTTATTTATTTATTTATTGGACTTATATACCGCCCCATAGCGCTTCAAGCACTCTCCGGGCGGTTTACAATTTTTAGTTATACAGGCTACACATTGCCCCCCCAGCAAGCTGGGTACTCATTTTACCAACCTCGGAAGGATGGAAGGCTGAGTCAACCTTGAGCCAGCTACCTGGGATTTGAACCCCAGGTCGTGAGCACAGTTTTAGCTGCAGTACAGCGTTTTGACCACTGCGCCATGAGGCTCATTTGCTATGATATGATATGATCACTAGTGCCTCTTCCTCTTCTGAATATCTGGCATTTCTTTCTCCATATATGGTAAAAGTCTTTGTTGTGAAATCTTGAGCATGACTATTTGCATGGGAAATTAATGTAACTGTCCTATAATTACTGTAATCTTTAGCATCTTCTTTCTTTGGGGCTGGAGGTGTACCCAAGAATTCAGAGACTCTGGACCATTGTTTTGTACTATATAATTGCTGGGATACTCTTATTAGGATTTTCATAGATTTGAATCTGTAACTTGAAATAGCTCTGTTGTTCTCAGTTACTCCTGATCATTTATTTCTTCCAATTGGTTTCAGAGCAGCTTTCATTTCATTTTCTAAAATTTCCAGTTCCTTATCAATGCATTTTCTTTTGAAGAAATCTGGCACGTATGTATCTCTTCCGTATAAGTCTTCAATATATTGTTTCCATCTTGTTTTTATTTTCTCTTGACTAGATAATATTTCCCTGTTGGTCTTTCAGCATCCCTGATTTTTGTTTAAATTTCAATGTTTTTTCATCTTTTCCCTCTTTTGTTGTCCTATTTTGTTTCCTGGCAGTAATTATTAAAGTAATTATGTCTGTCCTTCATGCAAGTTGCTAAAAAGCTGCACTTTGGAGTCGAAGCTTATTTCTGTCACTTGTTATGTTTGCTTCTCACTTGTCATTTATAATCATAAAAGTTTCAGCAGTCATCCATTCAGTCTCTTATTTTGCCTACAGGCAGTCTTTCTGCATTCTTCCCTGGTAATATCTATTGTTTCAGTCCACA